TAGTCGTTTAGTCGTGTCCGACTCTTCGTGACCCCATGGACCAGAGCACGCCCAGGCACCTCTGTCCTCCACTACCTCCCGCAGTTTGGTCAAACTCATGCTGTAACCTCGAAAACACTATCCAACCATCTCGTCCTCTGTCGCCCCCCTTTTGTGCCCTCCATCTTTCCCAGCATCAGTGTCTTCTCCAGGGAGTCTTCTCTTCTCATGAGGTGGCCAAAGTACTAAAGCCTCAGCTTCACGATCTGTCCTTCCAGTGAGCACTCAGGGCTGATTTCCTTAAGAATGGAGAGGTTTGATCTTCTTGCAGTCCATGGGACTCTCAAGAGTCTCCTCCAGCACCATAATTCAAAAAGTATCAATTCTTCAGCGATCAGGCCTTCTTTACTGGTCAGCTCTCATTCCATACATCACTACTGGGAAAACCATAGCTTTAACTATACGGACCTTTGTTGGCAAGGTGATGTCTCTGCTTTTAAGATGCTGTCTAGGTTTCTCATTGCTTTTATCCCAAGAAGCAGGCGTCTTTTAATTTCGTGGCTGCTCTCACCCAAATCCCAACAGTGCAGCAGTGATTTAGCCTCAAATCACCTCTTTTATAGGTAAATGCAGCATACAGAAGTGATCAGTTGTATGATGTACCTTTGTAGATCTTAACTGTGCTTTTCCTTCCACCCAATGCAATGCTGCTTTGTAACTTTCTCGCTGCAGGCCATTTCAAAATGACCCAACATTCGATCCAGAGTTTATACTGTCTAAGTCCACGGCTGCAGCTGGTCTGTGTTCTTGGTGCCTGAACATTGTTCGCTTCTATGAAGTCTACTGTGACGTCGCTCCCAAGCGCCAGGCCTTGGAAGAGGCTAATAATGAGCTGGCAGAAGCGCAAGCAAAGCTCACGCTGATCAAGAACAAGATTGCAGTAAGTACACCGTCACCTTGGCTCGATAAAATGCCAGCGCCCCCTTGTGTCCCATCAAGTGAACATCACTGTTGAAATTGACTGGCATTGAGGAAGGAAATTATTTACTGTATTTTTTGCTCTATAAGACTCACTTTTTCCCTCCTAAAAAGTAAGGGGAAATGTGTGCGCGTCTTATGGAGCGAATGCAGGCTGCACAGCTATCCCAGAAGCCAGAACAGCAAGAGGAATTGCTGCTTTCACTGCGCAGCGATCCCTCTTGCTGTTCTGGCTTCTGAGATTCAGATTTTTTTTTCTTATTTTCCTCCTCCAAAAACTAGGTGCGTCTTGTGTTCTGGTGCATCCTATAGAGCGAAAAAGACGGTAACTATGAGCTTGAGAATTGTTTAGCTGTGAGCTTGAGACACACATGTGGCATTTTCCCGTGTCTGTACAAACTGAGAGCTGACATTTCAGCTATGTGTGCGAACTGTAATCTGTCTCCAGTTCATGACTCAAATGAGCATATAAAGAACCTTGCTGGATCTGATCAAAGGCCTCTCCATTGTGTCCAACCAGATGCCTATGGGAGGCTCACAAGCAGGAGGATATGCAGGCAAAAGCCCTGCCCAGCAACTCTTATTCAGAGGCAGACTGCCTCTTATCCCGGAGGTAGCATATGGCCATCGTGACTAGGAGCCATTGGCTAGCTACTGCATTTGTCTAATCCTCTTCAGAGCCATCTGAGCTGGTGGTCATCACCACATCTTGTGGCAGGGAAGGCCATAGGTGTTAACCAGGGGTCAGCAAACCTTTTCAGCAGGGGGCCAGTCCACTGTCTCTCAGACCAAAAGGGGGTTCGGACTATATTTTTTTTGGGGGGAAAGAACAAATTCCTGTGCCCCACAAATAACCCAGAGATGCATTTTAAATAAAAGGGCACATTCTACTCATGTGAAAACACCAGGCAGGCCCCACAAATAACCCAGAGATGCATTTTAAATAAAAGGGCACATTCTACTCATGTAAAAATACGCTGATTCCCCAGACCGTCCGCGGGCCAGATTTAGAAGGCGACTGGGCCGGATCCGGCCCCCGGGCCTTAGTTTGCCTACCCATGGTGTTAACTATGCAGCGTGGGAAGAAGTGCTTCCTTTTGTCTGTCCTGAATCTCCTGCTCAGTTTCTGCTGTTACTGGGTAGGAGTGAGGAATGCATAATTTCCACAACATGTATAATTTAGAAATATCCATCACCTCCTCTTGGTTTCTTTTTTTTCTAAAGCAGAAGCCCTAAGCATAGCCTTTTCTTGTTGGGGACCTAATCCACCTTGCAGCCTGTGCTTTTTTTCAAGGTGTACACAGTACTGGCACCTCTTCTTCTTGTTGTTGTTAAAAAGTGTGGCACTTACTGTAACAACTTCATGGCGAGTGCCGGCACCTATTTTTCTAGAAAAAAGCACTGCTTGCAGCCTCTGGTTTTAAAACTATAAAGCACTTTTTAACAGCTAGATGCAATTAAGGAGACTTCTGGACAGGAGTTCGTTGTAGTCAGTGGAATCACGCACACAAGCCTTTTGCAAGATCTGCACTTCCTGGGGATTTTAAAAAAGGGAGTTCATGCACATGTCCCGAAACACCTGATTGCATTGCCCAGAGAACAGAAAAGGGGAAGAGGGAAGAGACAAAACTTCTGGCTAGATTCAGAGTTCTGCCCTGATATGTACAGCAAGCAGAGTAGAACAGCAACAAAGATCTGTGACTTAAAACATAGCAATGTGCAAAAGCTAACGTGCCAAACGGACATGCACTGTGATTCCTGTTCAGTGTACCTGTGCTCATGGGAGCTGCTTTTATCTGTGATGCATGGAAATGATTCTCACAATCCTCCTATAGCTGAATCCTTAAGATGTGGGCCCCACGGGGAGTGTGCCATGGAGAATACTTCCACATAGCTGTGGGTACATATATACTGAGTGCCAATAACAGATACTTATTGGCATTTTCAGAGTTTTAAGACACAGCTTGTTAAGTACTGTCCCACTAAAACAAATAGTGGGGTGCACCCGCTGAACACATGCAGCAAGCAGTCTTCAAAGTTTCTATGAGAGTAACAACAATCCCATTGTTTTAAAGGATCTAAATGCCAACTTGGCCAATCTGACTGCTGAATTTGAAAAGGCCACAGCCGAGAAAATCAAATGCCAGCAAGAGGCAGATGCGACAAACAGAGTCATATCATTGGCTAACAGGTAACATGTAATCAAGCACTCTCTCAGGAGCATCCTGTGCTGGTATTAGCTAGTTGCCACTATGATTCTTGAGTTCACAATAAGCGAAATATATTATGCGGAAGGTCTGTGCTTGATCTCCTACCATTTTATTCATGAAACAGAGCTGAGTGGGTCAATGTTCAAAGATAAAACACCATCACAATTAACAAGATGGCAGTATCTGTGCAATAGGTATGATCTTTGAATCGCTCAGCCAGATTTGAGAATCAAGCTGTAATACTCGTCCTGTGATGTTTACAAAGCTGCTTTTCCAGAAAGGTCAAAAACACGATAGTCATAGCTGTCAACTTTTCCCTTTTGTTAAGGGAAATTCCCTTATTCCAAATAGGATTCCTCGCTAGAAAAGGGAAAAGTTGACAGCTATGTCAATAGTAGCGGACCTTAAAATAATATAAGTCTGGAAGCAGTTAAAAGAACCTCAAACATTGCATGTTCGTATCATATAATTTTTGTGGTTCTGAGGGGATCACTCAGTATCTGGAGTCAGCAGTACTGGGCTTTTGGTCATCCCAGCTGGTAAGAAGAAACTGTTGTTCTTCTCAGCATGCTGTGAACCATTTCCTGAAAATGGAATACTACATTACAGAGTGAGTCAAAGATGTGGAGTTTATTTAGAGAAGCTGCAGTTATATTTTTTTTTGGGGGGGGAGACTGTCAGTTCAAAGGCAAACAGTTCCTTTTGTGTTATTATGGATCTTCTGGTGATCGAGATCTTAAGTGATTAGCATATACGAAAGACTTCAAAAAACGGCCACTTTCAGTCTTGTCTCGGAAATTTCACAAAACGTGCAAGGCATCTCTCAGTAGTGGCGGCCAGGTATCCCAGGAATGTGTAGTTGGAGCTTTTTGCCGCAGCCCTCCAGCCTGGCCCTCATCATGCAAAAGTTGCCCACCCTAATCTCTAAAAAAGTCAACATTCCAGGCAGACAGTTAATCAGTTTCTGGGAATGTGCGGGCCTAGCATCAAGGCAAAGGCTGGGCCAGAACCCCAGGCTGCGCTAACCAAATGTGCATCTCCTTTCGAAATGTTTATTCAGGCTTGTTGGCGGATTAGCTTCGGAAAACGTGCGTTGGGCCGAGTCTGTGGAAAATTTCCGTGAGCAAGAAAAGACTTTGTGTGGGGATGTGCTCTTGATTACTGCATTTGTTTCCTACGTTGGCTATTTTACAAAAAAATACAGGACCGAGCTTCTGGACAAGTTCTGGACTCCTTTCCTCCAGCAGCTAAAGGTGAATCTGCTCAGTGCCATGTTGCACTAGGGCAGCTCTGAATGAAGCTCTGGGACATGTAGAGTAATATATTTGGGGGTGCGTATCATATCCTGGGGGACGCGGGTGGCGCTGTGGGTAAAACCTCAGCGCCTAGGACTTGCCGATCGCATGGTCGGCAGTTCGAATCCCCGCAGCGGGGTGAGCTCCCGTCGTTCGGTCCCAGCGCCTGCCAACCTAGCAGTTCGAAAGCACATCAAAGTGCAAGTAGATAAATAGGGATCACTTACTGGCGGGAAGGTAAACGGCGTTTCCGTGTGCGGCTCTGGCTCGCCAGATGCAGCTTGTCACGCTGGCCACGTGACCCGGAAGTGTCTGCGGACAGCGCTGGCTCCCGGCCTATAGAGTGAGATGAGCGCACAACCCTAGAGTCTGGCAAGACTGGCCCGTACGGGCAGGGGTGCCTTTACCTTTACATTTTATCATATCCTGGTGAGCCCTGCTTCCGTTTTCCAGGAAGTAGGATTCTGATCCCCATGGCCAGCCAGACTACAGGTGGATTCCTCTTGGATATCTCTGGCATCAGGTGCCTGAGACTCAACCCCTTGGCTTGAAGGTTTATTTTGATTTGTTTTAAACATCCCTCAATTTAAAAACGAAAATTTCCAGGGCTTACAACAGCTCTAATCATTGAAATAGCTGACAACAGCAAAGGGCAGTGCTAAAAGCTATCAGCCCTCAAACCGAAAGCCTGGAGAACTAAGCAGGGTTTTATATGGTGGTGCCAAGCAGACATCCCTAAGGAGAGCCACGAGAAGGGAGGGCAAAAGCAAAAAGACCCTCTTCACTTCATCTAGAGGAGAACCTCAGGTGAATGTTTTGATCTATGGGCACGTTAGCGGCATGGAAGAAAACATCATTTCCTGTACCCTCATCTAAACTCTGTAGGGTTTTAAAGGTAAGCACCAGCAGAAGCTGCGTAGACACTATATACTGAAAGCACAAACCCATACACACCCAAAAGAATTGTAGGAACTGCAGTTTACCCCTCGCAGAGCTAAAATTCGCAGCAGCCTTAAGAAACTGCACTTCCCAGAATTCTTTGGGGAAGGAGGATGTGCTTTAAATTTATGGTGTGTCTACAGCCTCAGTAGGAAATGGGCTGGAAGCCCGTGGAACTCCTTAAGCCTTGGCAAGATGTGTTCCCAACACCTGGTCCCACTTAGGAACCTGGTGGCTAAGCTTTGCGCTAACTGTAACTTCCAGGCAGTCTTCTGATTTAGCAGAAATATTTATGTTCCATTGATTCCAGGCAGAAAGAGTCAGCTAGTTCACTTCAGCTCCCTAAAGCCACACAGCAGTTTCTAACCTAACCTAAATTAATATATATTTTTAATCCTTAATAGCATGGAGTCAGCATTTGAGCCTCTCCTGGAGTTCACATAGACCCCTGCTGCAATTTTACTTGGTGACAAAGTCTGACTCCCAATAACAATACCTTTATGGAGTTACCAAACTCCCATCTCACCTCCCTTCAGGAAATCCTACCTGGTTTATTGGTTCCTCATTGAAGTGTCTGGAGCAGTCTTCTCCAGTGCTTCCTTTCCTAAAATGCCACCCAGCAGGCCCAGGGGATGACAATATACACCGTACAAGAAGTTCTCCCTTCTGGCCATCCCTGCTAAGAGCTGTTGCTCGTTCTGTTTAACCATCCATGCTAAACTCAGTTACATCATTTGCCTACTGCAGGGGTATCCATGGTGGTGGCCTCCAGATGTTCTCAGGCTGCATCCAGTAGCAGCCAGTGTGGTGAGGCAGAGCTTCATAGTCACCCTCCCAATGCTAGAGTCTCTACAGCTTACCTGAATGGGACTGGGGTAGGTCAGGGTGCCAGTAGGATTGGGGCCGCACAGCCACATCAGGGCAGCCAATCTAGCCCTTCTGCTCACGCGCCAGCTTGTGCTTCCCAAGCTTGCCACCACCCTGCCCCATCCCCATCCAGGTAAACTGTAGCAACTCTGGCATCAGGTGAGTAGCTCCACAACTTGGCCCAACCTGCTGCTATTGACTACAACTCCCATCATCCCCTGACCATTGGCAGTGGTGGCTATGGCTGATGGGAACTGTAGTCCTTCAGCAACTGAAAGGTAACGCGTTGGCTCCCCTTGACCCCACGAGGGGTTATTGCCACCTGCGAGATTATGTTCTTAAACAGGAGCAGTTGGTGCATTTCAGGACCCTTTTATTTTACTTTGCAGGTGCCAATTCCCATCACGCCGGGGCTGGACCCTTTGAGCCTCCTAACTGATGATGCAGATGTAGCAACGTGGAACAACCAGGGGCTCCCCAGTGACCGGATGTCAACAGAAAATGCAACTATACTTTGCAACACAGAGCGCTGGCCACTCATTGTAGATGCCCAGCTCCAAGGGATCAAGTGGATTAAGAACAAACATGGAGAAGACCTGAAGGCCATCCGGCTTGGACAGAGAAGGTTGAGCCATAACTCTTCTGTCCTGATTCTTCAAGTTTTCTGCCAAACAGGGAGTTCCCTACAGCTCCAAAGATGAGGGTGGCAGAGGTGCTCTCCAGGGATAGGCCCGTGGGCACCACCCTTTCTGGTGACATCTCTCCCCTCTCTAGATCATCCCCGCCACTGAGAAAGAAAGAGGGACAAGTGCACACATGCCCTTAGCTTTCTCCATTTATCCGATAGAAGTCCGATTCAGCGGAGTAAATCTGAGCCCTAAGAACACATAGTGCTGAAAGGGAAACTAGGGGAGAGCATAACTTGCAGCTTCCTCCTTCAGTTGTATGCGCTTTTCGAGGAAGAAAAAAGTAACCTGACCACCTCATGATCAAGGGGACAGTTGCGGGGTGGGGACTCAGACACATTGCAGGCCCCATGGAAAGACCTCAGAGGCACCATTGCATCCAAGAGGGCCATATTGGCAATCCCTGTTCCTCTCCATCAGATTCCATATATGTTAAGGGACGCTCCCTCGTTGCCACTTGTTTGCATATTGGAACCTGCGGGGTAAGCCTCTTCTGCCCAGATCCCGCTTCAGAGCTGCCCAGTGTCTCTGAACTCGGGGAAGCCCAGTCCCAAACGATAGTGATTTTTCATAAGGCTCCTTTTTCTGTGAGCACCAGCCTTCTTATGTTCAAAATGAGAGGCGGGGATTGTACTCTAAAACACTGCGACACGCTTAACAGATTTTCTTCCAATGCTGCAGCTATCTAGATATCATTGAAAAGGCGGTTTCTGACGGAGACACCCTGCTCATTGAGAACATCGGAGAGACCGTGGAGCCTGTGCTGGATCCTCTGCTAGGCCGAAACACCATCAAGAAAGGAAAGTACGTTTGTCGCAGCTCCTTTGGCTGAAGCCAGAGTAGCCCTTGCTTTTTAAAATGGAATTACTGTAGTTAGGGTTAGGCGTATCTCTATCCATTCTCTCTTAAGTCTGTCCCTACATTGGCCAGAGTGCCTCCATTACTAAGATGTCACACAGCTACTGTTTGCTGGCATTCCCAAGCCCTAGCAAATCATCCTGAGTGCGTGTCATCCTGCTGGTACAAGCCTGGCCTTGCCATGGGCTACTGTTCTGCATCCTTGGATCGCAATGTACCTGCTGGTTAGTTCACAGCCAAGTTGTCCTGTAATTAATATAGCCAAACCCATGGCCCGGGGGCCGGATCCGGCCCAGTCACCTTCTAAATCCAGCCCATGGACAGTCCAGGAATCAGCGTGTTTTTACATGAGTAGAATGTGTGCTTTTATTTTAAATGCATCTCTGGGTTATTTGTGGGGCCTGCCTGGTGTTTTTACATGAGTAGAATGTGCCCTTTTATTTAGAATGCATCTCTGGGTTATTTGTGGGGCATAGGAATTCGTTCATTTTTTTTCTCTTCAAAATATAGTCCGGCCTCCCACAAGGTCTGAGGGACAGTTTGCTGACTCCTGGTCAAACCTATTGCCCTCAGTAAGCAGATCTGTGCTCCCTCATTTCCATGGTGGACTTTCTGTCAAGGAACAGAGAGAGGAATCCTGGTTTCTAACCACTCCTTTCTATGGGTCTCCTGTAACCAAGTACTATAAATTATAAATGCCTGCCTATATCAACCAGGGGAAGTATTAAATTAGATAAATTTTACTTTTTATTTCATTTGACTGAAATGTTGTTTTTCATGTGTGGTGGATAAATTAGAAATCTAACCTCTTGTTAAGAAAATCATGTGCGCTCCACTAACAGAGGGGCGTGCTCCTAATAGGCTCATCTATTCTCGTGTAAATGTCATTGTGCTTTCAGCAAAGTTAAAAGAAACACAGTCATTATCCTTAGAGGAGCTATGTGATTAGAGATTGGAAGCTAGCACTCTTGTGATCTGGAACAAACTATATGTCAATGTAAGAGTCCCTATTGCTCAGTTATCCAGTAGGTGGTGGCAGACAACTACCGTATTTTTCGCACTATAGGACGCACTTTTTCCCCTCCAAAAATGAAGGGGAAATGTGTGTGCGTCCTATGGTGCGAATGCAGGCTTTTGCTGAAGCCTGGAGAGCGAGAGGGGTCCGTGCGCACCGACCCCTCTCGCTCTCCAGGCTTCAGGAAGCTATCCCAAGTCTTGCAAGCCCGGCGGGATGTCCCGCGGGCTCGCAAGGCTTGCGGGCAGCAGCCTGCACCCAAAAGCTGGGGACAGGGAGGCGCAGAGCCGCCACCCCGCTATTCCCCGACCTGATCTGGAGGCTGGCGGGGAGAAGCAAGCCTGCTTCTCCCCCCCCAGCCCCACAAGCTCGGGGGATAGGGGATGGCGAAGCGCCGCCATCCCGCTATTCCCCGACCTGATCTGGAGGCTGGGGTGGGAGAAGCAAGCCTGCTTCTCCCCCCCCCCACCATCCCACAACCTCCAGATCAGGTCGGGAATAGCGGATGGCAGCGCTCCGCCATCCCGCTATTCCCCGACCTGATCTGGAGGCTGGGGTGGGAGAAGCAAGCCTGCTTCTCCCCCCCCATCCCCACAACCTCCAGATCAGGTCGGGAATAGCGGGATGGCGGCGCTCCGCCATCCCGCTATTCCCCGACCTGATCTGGAGGCTGGGGTGGGAGAAGCAAGCCTGCTTCCCCCCCCCAGCCCCACAACCTCCAGATCAGGTCGTGGAATAGCGGGATGGCGGCGCTCCGCCATCCCGCTATTCCCCGACCTGATCTGGAGGCTGGGGGTGGGAGAAGCAAGCCTGCTTCTCCCCCCCCCCAGCCCCACAACCTCCAGATCAGGTCGGGAATAGCGGGATGGCGGCGCTCCGCCATCCCGCTATTCCCCGACCTGATCTGGAGGCTGGGGGTGGGAGAAGCAAGCCTGCTTCCCCCCCCCCAGCCCCACAACCTCCAGATCAGGTCGTGGAATAGCGGGATGGCGGTGCTCCGCCATCCCGCTATTCCCCGACCTGATCTGGAGGCTGGGGGTGGGAGAAGCAAGCCTGCTTCTCCCCCCCACCACCCCACAACCTCCAGGCTTCAGGAGAGCCCCACCGCCAGCCCCACAAGCTCGGGGACAGCGGGAGAGGCGCAGCGCCCATCCCGCTGTCCCCCGACTTGGCTGGAAGGCTGGCGGGGGGAGAAGCCTGCTCCTCCCATCGCCAGCCCCGCAAACTCGGGGGACAGCGGGAGAGGCGCAGGGCGCCTTTCCCGCTGTCCCCCGACTTGGCTAGAAGGCTGGCGGGGGAGAAGCCTGCTCCTCCCCGTCGCCAGCCCCGCAAACTCGGGGACAGCGGGAGAGGCGCAGCGCGCCTTTCCCGCTGTCCCCCGACTTGCTAGAAGGCTGGCGGGGGAGAAGCCTGCTCCTCCCCGTCGCCAGCCCCGCAAACTCGGGGACAGCGGGAGAGGCGCAGGCGCCTTTCCCGCTGTCCCCCGACTTGGCTAGAAGGCTGGCGGGGGGAGAAGCCTGCTCCTCCCCGTCGCCAGCCCCGCAAACTCGGGGGACAGCGGGAGAGGCGCAGCGCGCCTTTGCCGCTGTCCCCCGACTTGTCTAGAAGGCTGGCGGGGGAGAAGCCTGCTCCTCCCCGTCGCCAGCCCCGCAAACTCGGGGACAGCGGCAGGGCGCAGCGCGCCCTTCCCGCTGTCCCCCGACTTGGTTAGAAGGCTGGCCCAGCCCCGCAAACTCGGGGACAGCGGGAGAGGCGCAGCGCGCCTTTGCCGCTGTCCCCCGACTTGTCTAGAAGGCTGGCGGGGGGAGAAGCCTGCTCCTCCCCGTCACCAGCCCCGCAAACTCGGGAGACAGCGGCAGGGGCGCAGCGCCCTTCCCGCTGTCCCCCGACTTGGTTAGAAGGCTGGCCCAGCCCCGCAAACTCGGGGACAGCGGGAGAGGCGCAGCGCGCCATCCCGCTGTCTCCCGACGTGGTTTGGAGGCTGGCGGAAGGCTTCCTCCCTCCCAGCCCCGCAAGCTCCCAGAGCGATGCCAAAGCTGCGCGCAGCTTCGGCATGGCTCTGGGTCCCGTTCTGGGGGAGGGGGAAGCTCGGGCTTCCCCGCCCCAGCCCCGCGCCTGGCGGGGGGGGAATAATTTTTTTTGCCTTTATTTCCCCCCCCCCAAATCTAGGTGCGTCCTATGGACCGGTGCGTCCAATAGTCCGAAAAATACGGTAATTCACAATATGTTTTAGGGTGGATTTAGTCCTAGTTGTAAAGCTGGTGTGACTCGACCCCATCTAATCTAGTTTACCAAGTGACTCCTGTGGAATAAAGACTCTCCTGAGGATCGCACCGTCCTTGCAGATGACATTGCACGTGCTACATTTCCCTGACAGTAGATTCAAACCAGTAACAGCTTAGTGGCTGGGTTTTTCTACCGTCACCAGGTGGCTTTGACACCACCCGTTTGTCCCGTTCCTACTTTGCTCTGTTCATTGGGGAAAGAATGTCGAATTTCCTACATATTTCCATTGATGATAACCCTTCTTGTTTTCTTGTTTTCATTGGGTGCTGTTGCATAAATGTTCCCAGAGTAGTGCTGTTTTTGCTTCAGCCCTATACCACATCTCCTTGGAAAGAAGCCATGCTGATTTCAGTGGGGCTTCCTTCCAAATCCAAATGAGTGTGTTTATGACTGCAGCAATCGTTTCATAAGCTGAGAGCCGGTCTTCATGCCTCTTACTTTTTAAGCTGGTTCAAAATTGCAAGCATATGTCTCACATTTTCCATTCTGGTGTTTGCGCACTTGTGCATATGTATACACAGAACTCTTGCTTCTCCCCCCTAGCCACCCACCCTGCCAAAGGACAGAAGTACGCCCCCTCCCCTGTGTTTTGAACCACATATAATTTACAGTGGTACCTCAGGTTAAGAACTTAATTCGTTCTGGAGGTCCGTTCTTAACCTGAAACTGTTCTTAACCTGAGGTACCACTTTAGCTAATGGGTTCTCCCACTGCTGCCATGATTTCTGTTCTCATCCTGAAGTAAAGTTCTTAACCCAAGGTACTATTTCTGGGTTAGCGGCATCTGTAACCTGAAGCTTCTGTAACCCGAGGTACCACTGTATTCCTTAAGTTACTTTTTATTTAATTCATTACATCCAAGTTATACACCACTTGATTGTTAAACAAAAAGCCCTCAAGGCATTTTACAAAAAGATAAAACAATAAAAATCAAGAAACGCTTACAATAGTTTAAAACATACAAGAAGTTAAAATACTGAAATTGGTTAAAATTCACATTAACTTTCTAATCATCTGAGCAGGCTTGTCTATGAGGCATGAAGCAGCAGCAACAATGTGCCTAAAATGCACTGCTTTTTTGTATGCATTAAATAACTTTTTAGCATATCCAAAAATAGGATTTGACCCTTCCTGTGACGTCCTCATCCAGCTCTGCCCCTCCAACTGCCAGAAGTAGCCTATGGTCTCTTTGAAGAACCTTTGTCTGCCTGTTACCTACCTGTTCTCATGACCTGTTAACACTCTAATCCCCAGATACATTAAAATAGGAGACAAGGAGGTGGAGTACCACCCCGATTTCCGCCTCATTCTGCACACCAAGTACTTCAACCCCCACTACAAGCCAGAGATGCAGGCCCAGTGCACACTCATCAACTTTCTGGTCACCAGAGATGGGCTGGAGGACCAACTTTTAGCTGCTGTGGTGGCTAAGGAGAGACCTGACCTAGAGGAACTGAAGGTATTGTAATTGCTAGATGTGAGTTGTTTATAAACAACATGGCTTATTTTACAAGAATTTATGGTAGCCACACTTGGTCAGAAACTTCAGAGCTAGCCAAATGGTCTTAGAAGGTGCGTCTCTGAACCTGCCATTCAGGTTTTCATCTGCTCCAAAGTGGTGATTACTACATATTAATGTTGTGTTTTAATTGTTGTAACCCGCCTTGGGACCTTGGGGTAATAATAATAATAAAGTAAGGTTCCAAGTATATTAAAAAGGGAAAGACATTAATTTGTGCATAGCACCCAACACAATTCCAATTCCCAGCTGGTGAGGATGGTTTTAAGTTTCTGTTCCTACTTTCCATTTACATGTCCACACATATATATATAAATTCTCTGCACTCCTTTCCCTGCATTAGGTTTTAAATGTGAAAGGGAACCAGGTCCATGTGTAAATTAATTAAATATTTACTAGTATATTAATGAATTGCTTAGATTTAATTTACCGTATTTAAATCATTTCCTCTGTTTAAATAGATATTTCAAACCAGCGAATTCATTCTGTATATTTTAGAATGTGTATGTTTAACAATGCAAACTTATATCTGTTTATTTAATTATGATTTTCATTTACTATTTCTTGTTCACTTTACATTTACTGTTTAATGAAGTATATTAGGCTGTTATTTGGGTGAACCTCTTTAGGATAGAAGGACCCACTAGTGATAGTTGCCACAAGCTGAAGCCTCACCCCAACCTTCGTATTAAATGGCATTGTGCAATGGGAGGGACTATTTAGGATGTCTGTAGCCATTTCATTGCCGCGCAGGTAAGAACCTTGGAGCTGAGCTGTTTAACACACTGGTAATGGCAACCGTGTGCCCTGCTTTACAGAAAGCAGTCCTCTTCTTTGAAGGAGTCTTCTGTTTGAAGGCTTGTCTGGTCCAGATTGTCTTTAAATGATAATGAACCCTGGGAAGGAAGAGCAGAGACCTTGAAAGTAGCTCATCAGTGGCTAACTGAGCAGGCATTGCTGGTCTCAGGCTTCTCCACTATAGTTACACATACTCACATACTGTACTCAGGGGGAACCCAAGGCACATTGCTGCCTGAGGCACAGGGCAAGATCACACACACACACCCTCCATCCCATGTACAGAAACTGAATAGACACATATAGCTCTGATCTCCAAGAGGAACAAATGGCCAGGGGGCTCTGGAGGGGTGGGCAGGGGGCTCCCACAGCTGTTCCCCAGCTTCTGCTGCCTGAGAGCATTGCCTCCCTCTGCCTAGTTGGTAGGGCTGACCCTCATAATGTTTTAGTTAAATACAGTAGTTATTTCAAGTTTGCACTTATACATGTAAATAAGTATGGTATAAGCAAATTATATGCAAATCCGTATCTTTTTTCCCTTTTTTGTTTGTGTTTGGGGGAGGGGGAAGGTTGGTGCATTTTCTCTTATCAGACGTAAATGAACTTCATCTAAGAACTGGCCCTTGTGCCCTTACTTGCATCTGCAATGCATCTTCCGTGTCCGCCTGAGCTGTTAGTCACTGTTGCATTGTGATGACCCTTTACAAAACTCTTGTAGTCACAAAAAGACCCCGATAGGAAAAGAACAAGCTGCTTTGTGTGTTATGTGAATGCCGGTGGTCCCTCATTTGCATGACTGCCTTGAATGAGCTTAGAACGAAGAGCTTCCGTTCCAGGAGCTTCTTTGCATTTTCACCTCTTGAAAAATTACATTCTCTGCAATAATTTCGAGGCGCAGTACGGCTGGTGAGTCCAAAGGGCTCCCATTTCATCCAACTCTGCTATCTGTTGAATTGCAGCCTGTCTGTGAAGGCTGTCCACCTTCAAAGGAAGTCAGTCTCTCTCGCTCTCTCTCTCTCTCTCTCTTTCACACACACACACACACACACACACACACCCTACCAAATTCTAACATATATATTTTTCCCTCATTGCTGGTATAGGCTACTCTCACAAAACAACAGAATGAGTTTAAGATCATCCTGAAGGAGCTGGAGGATTCCTTACTGGCTCGACTCTCTGCTGCATCAGGAAACTTCCTTGGCGACACAGCCTTGGTGGAAAATCTGGAGACCACCAAGCGCACAGCAAATGAGATAGAGGAAAAGGTGAGTCACAGGGCCATGGCTAGGGCTCTTCGAGGACAAAGAACACAAATTTTCATCAGTGTGTAGAATGCTTCTGGGCCCATTAAGTTGGCAGGTAGTCAGGATCTCACTGGCACTGCAATTTACAGTGTACTCAGCTGTCCTATACGTAAAGAAGAAAAAGAGGAGGGAGAAGGGGCCGGTTTAGCCTTAAATGCACAATCACTGCGCTATTCGGGGGGGGGGCATCTCCAATAACCTATGTGATCTATCAACCCAGCAACAAGAGTAAGGGGCTATGGAGCTACACTGTGGTTTTCTAGAGCAGTGTTTCCCAACCTTGGGCCTCCAGCTGTTTTTGGACTACAACTCCCATCATCCCTAGCTAGCAAGACCAGTGGTCAGGGATGATGGGAATTGTAGTTCAAAAACAGCTGGAGGCCCAAGGTTGGGAAACACTGTTCTAGAGAACTGATAACTGCTGTATTGAAGATTGCTTGTTGTTGTTTTTAGGTGAAAGAGGCTAAAATTACTGAGCTGCAAATAAATGAAGCTAGAGAGAACTACAGGCCAGCTGCAGAAAGGGCCTCCTTGTTGTACTTTATACTGAATGACCTCAACAAAATCAACCCCATCTATCAGTTCTCGTTAAAGGTAATTAACTAAGGAAGGAGACTAGTTGGACAGGCCACTAATTACATTTGTGGAGAATAGCCACTTTCCTGCTGTCACTGACACCAAGTTATTCACATCCTTTTGTGCAGTTAATCTTGAGAGCCAGTGTGGTGTAGTGGTTAAGAGCGGTAGACTCGTAATCTGGTGAACCGGGTTCGCTTCTCCGCTCCTCCACATGCAGCTGCTGGGTGACCTTGGCCAGTCACACTTCTCTGAAGTCTCTCAGCCCCACTCACCTCACAGAGTGTTTGTTGTAGGAGAGGAAGGGAAAGGAGAATGTTAGCCGCTTTGAGGCTCCTTCGGTAGTGATAAAGCGGGATATCAAATCCAAACTCCTCTTCTTCTTCCAGTCTACCTCTTTTGCAGGGGTGGCTGTCTATTCATTATAACTTAGGGTTGGGCATAAATACCTTGCCCCGAGGTCATATTAGAGGATCTTGCCAAAGGGACTTGAACCATAGAGTTTATGCGAGGCTGCAGCCCAGACACTGTACGTTCTCGTGTTTTGGATGAAGGCACCTTCCCCATGTCTGCCTTTTAATAAAAGGCCACGAAGTCCAACCACGTTAAACGGTTTTCATCCGTGCTTTGACTTCTTTTCTGACCAGGCATTCAATGTCGTCTTTGAGAAAGCCATTCAACGGACTCCTCCAGCAGAAGATGTGAAACACAGAGTGATCAACCTAACTGACGAAATCACCTACTCCGTCTACATGTACACTGCTCGGGGACTTTTTGAGAGAGACAAGCTTATTTTTCTAGCCCAAGTTGCCTTTCAGGTAAGGTGATTTCCTGCTGGCACTGACAAAAGAAGTAACTGGGGTTTTTTTTGTTTCCTTGGAGTCAGTCAACATTTCCCTCTTGCCTGGTAATCAGGGTGTAGCTGTGTGGACAGTGGATTATTAGACCCAAAGAGAGATGGATCAGAAAGGGATGTTGTAAAGCAAGTTGTGGAGAAACTTCTAAGAAGGACTAGAAGGAGGTAGCTCTTTAGAAAACGAAGAAGAGGAGTTCCAGAGGAGGTCAAACTTTGTTGTTGGCATCTGTCTCGAGAGACAATGGAGTGCTTCTCGGGGGGTGAAGTCATACCACTGCATTAGCAAGCACCTCCTCGGGTCACAACCCTGGGCTGTGTGAATGGAGCTCCTGTGCTGCCCGGGCAAAAAAAAAAATCCCCACCCCTCATCCTCACTATTGTGTTCCAAAGGAAAGCAGAGCAATGCGCTTAGCACCAGCTTGGCTGCAGGAGTTGCCAGAAGGAGGTGATACAAGCCGCCTTCCAATTGTCTTAGGGACTCCACTCCAGCTTTGTTTACCATTTACTCTTTAGCCGCCTTCTCCTGTAAATATCTTGCAAGGCAGTGGAGGTCTAGGATCAGAGTTTCTCTTCTCCTAGACGAGCTACCTTCCCAGGTTGATGAGCCCCATCTGCCCCTCACTTCCCTCTACGGTATGTGCAGAAACCACCTTCTTGACCCTTGGTCTTCTCCATACAATCCACCGGAGACCATTTTCACATGAAAGGAAGTCCCTAACTCACCAAGGGTTTGAGACCCATCAGCTCCCCTCACCTGGTTTAGCCAGCCAGTCAAAGCCGTTCCCAGGTTTGGCCACTGTCACAGGTTGACAGCTTTTAGGTGAGAGTTGAGTGCAGTGAGAACCACAAGTGGACAAATTACCCCAGAAGGAACACGGCGTGTCCCCCACCAAAGGTACTGCTACTCCCCTAATTCCTTATGCAAACTACATTGGAAGTAGCAGCAGCAGCAGTCAAGGAGAAAGATTAGGCTGTAGAATCCTATCAGGTAAGTTTAAAAATAGGGATGGTTAGCATCAGCAGGGTCCCCTCCCTCCCTGAAGGCTGAAGTGATGCTGCTGTCTTCTTTAGGCTTGCAGCTGCCGCTGCTGCTTAGTATGCAGTAGTCATCAGGCCGGGTTGTCCCTAACCAGAGTGTTCATCTGACCTCACAACACTCCAAAGCCAGATTCCCGTTGGGTGTGGTCTCTTCTATCCTTGTCTTTGGGTTCTGCTCCTGCTGTCAGTAAACTCAGAAGGATAAACAAGACCAACAGCTGTTCCAGCAATTGTTTCTGGAGTAAATAGTCCTCATGCTTCTAATTCCATGCTTTCTCTAGGTCTTGTTGGTGAAGAAAGAAGTGAATCCGGTGGAACTAGACTTCCTTCTGCGCTTCCCCTTTAAAGCTGGGCTGGCATCTCCAGTAGAGTTCCTGTTAGGCCAAGGATGGGGTGGAATTAAGGTTTGTTTGAAAATACTGTTTCTAGAGTGAAGTCCTTTTTTAGGAGCTGAGGGAGACCCATTAGCAAATGCTGGTATCCAGTGGCATGGTCCATGATTGATGGGGACTGAGTCGTAGAAGTTTAGCTACCTTCAAAGCTTTTCGTGTGAGCCATCTAAAGAACTGTGCTAGCAGTTTGAAACTTCTGCTCAGCAGTGAACGCCAGTAGCTTGGTAGAGCCTGGCTGTGGAGTGGGGCCTTTTTCCTTCCCTCAGCCTGCCTGTAGCCACAGCCTCTTGTTGCGTGTACATGAAAAGAGCAATCACGCTCTACAGGCAAGTTGCGTTTCATTTCCTGCAGGAAAGCAAGATGAGAAATTAAATGAAGCCACCTTTTCATCCAGGTCTAGGATGACCTGGAAACGGCTGTTGAGACCTTCCTGCAGTTGCTTGGCATCCAGAAAACTGTTCCTTTGGAATGGCCAACGGTGACTGTGCTATCGGAGGGATTACAACATGGATTGAGAAGCAGTACTCTTTAGAGCCTGTTGTGGCTTGTGACATTTTAGCTGAAGTCAAGCTTCCATTGGCCATGCTGGCTGGGGTTGGAGCCCAACTACTGGAGGGCCTCTGGTTCTCCATCTCTGCTCTGCTGCAAGCATGACAGCCTGGTGCCTTGGGCACTATATCTGTAGTATCCAACGTGGCCCTCCTCTTGCCATAGGCCTCCTGTTTTCGCTTGAACTGGCAGAAGAAGGAAATCTGTTAACAGTTCAGGTGGTTGTGAGCAGAGTACAGTGGTACCCTCGTTCTCAAACTTAATCTGTTCCGGAAGTCCA